TTCCGTGTCTCCTTGCTCGGGTCCGCCTTGCTCCGCCCCGCGTCGCTCCTCCTGGGCGCCTCCGACGAACCCCTTGGCCCCGAGGAACTCCAGCATGGCGTCCTGCATCTCCCTGATCGCTTCAAAGGGCGACTTGGTCCCCTTGCCGCACTCCAGCACGCTCTTCCACCTCACGGGGTCGTCCTCCCACAGGCAGTGCGTCGCACCCTCCAGCACCACGAGCTCCGACTCTGTCCCCTGTGGAAGCTGCGACTGAAAGAACTGCGCGTACGACAGCTTCTCCACGTTGTCCATGTCGCCCCCTATGAACAGCACGTCCACGCCCTGCAGCCGCGATGCGCCCTCCGTTGCAAACTCGCACTCCCGCCCCCTGAACCTGCAGGCCGGGGCGACGTGCATGGACACTTTTACACCCAAGTCATACTCTTCCTTGGCCATGACGGTGGCCAGCATGCTCAGGCCGCCTCCCATGGAGTGCCCGCCCACAGCCAGCCTCTCAACATCCACCCCGCCTTCTGCCCAGGACCCAGACTCAGACCCCAGCTGCACCATGTGCTTGAGGCTGTACACAATGTCGTCCATCCAAGCCAGGGACGTCTCCCTTGAGAAGTCCGTCACTATGCCCTCGGTGGAGTATTGAGAGATTACAATAATCCCGTGTGATGCTAAGTGGTGGAACGTCCTGAAGTGTTGATTTGGGGACACCTCGAACCCCGGGGAGAACGCCAGCACGGGGAAGGGGCCCCGGGAGGACAGAGGCTGGTCCTCCTGCCTCTCAAACCCCTGCGAGGTTGCGGTCAGCGGATCTGTGTCCACCGGGTACACCACCAGCGCCTTGAAGTCCATCTCGTTGGACTTGTCGTTAATTAAAATGGACGGCTTGGGCCGGGGGACGTCGATTATTCCGTAGTTGACATAGAAAGGCCCGGGCCTGGGCGCCTCATACAGGTCGCCGAACGTGGGCAGGTCCTCTGGGGAGGTTTGCTCGAGCTCCTGCTCCGACAGCCCTAGGAACTCGGGCGCCAGCTTGCCGTTGATGTTGTCGGCCTGGAAGGGCTGGCACTCGGCCACGCTGCTTGGGTCCTCAATGAAGTGCACAGGATCATCGGGGATGGGGAACGCGATGCCACAGAATCCCGCCATCGTGACGAGGCCTTCAGAGCCTTCCGCCAACATGCCGCGAGCGATCTGCCAGTGCCCCACGTGTTGTGATCAGCTAAACGTGCCTTATAACAGAGTAACCAATGAGAGGTGTTTTGATGAAAAAAATAGGAGCAAAAAGGAATGAAATACGCGTTCTGCATGTACACAATGTGTTTCAAAGTCCTTGCGCTCCAGTTTCCGCCTGCATATTCCGAAAATAATGTATACGTTTCCAATGCAAAACTTAGGGCAAAATCAGATTGCTGCACCTCTTGGCATGACGTAATGCAGCTTCAATCCATAAAACGCATCGGTTGCTCATTTGAAAGTGCAGGTGCGAGCAAAGCGGACAGTGCAAACGCTCTGCAGAATGCAAATAGGGTTGTCAAATAGGGCATGTGTTATTTTTGTGTTCTTAGCGTGCAAAACTTTGATGAAATGTGTTTATGTGTGTTCGTAAAAGTTTTATTTGGCCCTTTTTTTCCTAGTGTCATGGGCGATCAGTATAAGTCTATGATAGACCTATACTTACAGCGATGAACCGCACTTCTTTGGCACCTATCCAAAGGGCAGGGACACTTTGCATCCACTGGGACCCAACCTGCAGCTCGCAGAGGCAGCTCCCGTCATCCACAAAGTATCTCCCCGCCCTGCAGCAGGCCTTCACGTCGGCAGTGGCCAGCTTGTCTGGGGTGCAGTCCTTTGGAAAGATGTCGTCGAAGTAGGCCACGCACTCGTCCAGGTGCGTCACCTCCAGGACGCTGCTGAATGCCGCGCTGCTCAGTTGCTCCATCAGCATGGCCTTGGCATTGGGGAAGACAAGCTCATCTTCTGCAGGTGCACATCACATGCCACGGCGGCTAAGATTCGAAAACGGTGTGGCGCATCGGTATGAGCGTAGCCTTATTGTCACAACAAATTATGCCCACGTGACATCGACAGTCTCAAGACAAACATGCAGTCCGACCAACTGCCTTAGCAAATGTACGTACGCCAGAGGGCGTCAGTGTCGGTCGGCAAGAAGATATTAGCATGCTTATGAAATTGCCAGAATAGTGTAGTCAATGTGACTTTTTTGCGTTGCCCGATACAACGGGGACTGAATTGCGGATTTCGTTGATGAATATACATTGTCGCGTTTCGAATCCCGGCAACAAGAAGCAGAGCAAACGTTTGCAGTATATGCTGGCTTCAGCAAATGCACCGCAAACTTGCAAAATGTCGCAGAATCTGGACCGAAGAAAGGACCAATTCCTCTGGGCGCATGTAGCTAAAAAGACACATCGTGTCCATATCTGCTGCAGCAGACACTAGCAGAAAAAGGACCAAATTGCACTTTTCCAAACACACATAAGACACATTTCATCAATATTCTGCATGCTAAGAATACAAAAATAACCCAAACCCGTAAACTTTGTACAATTTTGAACACGTGTTATTTGGCCCTTTGTTTCGCTCTAGAGCGGCGAAAGCTCCACAATTTTCACGCTTTCTGGACAAGCACGGCGTCCATCATGTCTCATTTGAGACATCATACCCCCTGTGCGTGACCCGAGGCATGGAAATTGTGCCAGCTCAATTTTTCCACACGAATGGATCTAATGCCTCATTTGGGTAATATTGCTCAAGGGAAGACCGCAGCTGCCTTTGGATGCAGAACAGTTGTAATGCCGGAAATCGTAGCCACCTGCGTATGGATGGTACTCACCTTCTTCCTGCGATAGATGCCTTTGGCCAGCATCTGCACCCTGGAATACTTTTGGGGCAGCCTGGAAAGGACCCAAAGACATCTGTCAACCAATTGTGTAAAGTATACTCACAGAGGGTGCCAGAGATGACCACTAACCCGTTGCATAACTAAATTGCGCGTTTAAATCCAGCAAAATACAACACAACTTCAATTGTGTCAAAGTCAGCTACATGAGATATAATCTGAGTGCAAGCATGTCTTTCAGTGTCCCGTGAGCGACGTTGTTCCCATGGCCAGCCGAGAGACCACATGCGCAGAAAACAAACGGCATCTATCTAATCTGCATTTTGTGCATGGTTTGCGCCATTGCCAGATCTTTCAAAACACGCATATGCACTAATCAAGTCGCCACCAGCAGCGACATCAACGCAAAACCACATGCTCTGACAACAACTGCGTTAGTGCCATTGAAAACATGAGATACATGCCATGAATATTGCACTATTTGACCCAGTCGACATTCCTTCCACTGCCAATATGATTTCAGCATTTCAACGCTGTTTAATTCGGCAAGTAAACTGTGTGGTGCGGGAAATTTTGCTCTTTCAGAACCCGCCATTAGTTGGAAGGGCGCCAGGCTGAATTCTGGCAAAGGATGGCATTCTGCATTTCATTTGTTTTGATTTTCCACATCTTGGGCATTTTGCATGTCGTTCCTCTGGATTTGGAAGAGCTCGCCTAAAGCGCTCTCACTGTCTGAGGTAACCTCTTGCAATCGAAACACAGCACCAACGATTTCCGAGCCCCGATCGCTGGAGATTTCTGTTTGAGGTACGCATTGTGCTGTGGTGTTTCCTGTAATAGCGAATTGCGACAGGATATTGAGGACATGTTTTTCAAGCAGCATATGTTGGCAAGCTTATTCCTTGCGATTTGTCACATAAAAAATTATGAATCAGGACAAGCCTGTGGTGGCGGGCCCTGACAAATGTTGGCATCTGCTCTCAGATTTACAAGCCCTTTGTTCTTCTTCAATCACCAGAGTTCGCAGTCTTGTGTTCCAATGCCAGGTTGGTAGCAGGTGTTGGTACATTCAGCGTCCCAGCTGTTTCAGCATTGGCCCTTATACGTGCTAAGTTAATAAGAAAACCTGAGGAGGTAACAGGATGACATGACCACCCCAAAGGCAGGGACATGCGTTTGCCAATTCATAATTCCAAGCTCTGTGATTTTCTCATGAACACCACGAAAGATGGGATGTCGATTCTGGAGCAATGCAGCTGTTTTGAACTTAGTTTCGATCAGCGTATGCCGCAGCTAACACGTCTGTTGCAGATGGAGCCCCCCCTGCTGTTCTAGCTGCCAGAAGATGCACCCTGAGACAGAAAAAAAATGGACGAGAAAGATGTGCGACAGCTCAAAATTGGACTGAATATTCCAGCAAGGACACATGCGTGAAGAAACACACACAGAGCGATGCGCTGAAACGACAACGTTGCCTTCATGGGGCGAGTTTTCATTCCCTGGCCATTCAACAATCAGTTCAGAGATCCGCTTGCCCAACACAACCACAACCGCATCCGCACCTGAGCACAGCATAGGACAAAGAGCAACGGGAGGGTAACGAGCGCCCTGGTGGGCCTCATCTTCCCCGAGGCTTGCAATTGGGGTTTCTTTCGTTGCCTGCGCACATAAGCGAAATTACAAATAAGGATGATTATGAAATTATAATCAGAATGAGCATCATCATGTGTTCAGACTGAATTTCACACAGAAGTCGTGCGGGGAAGAACTGCCCCCGGGTTCGCCCCATTCACGACCAGGATGGCTTGGGGGTTTGGTGTCGGGTGAGCCGGCAGCCAACGAGCGCTCTCACGCCGCGAAATCCACCCGCAATCGATTGCTCATCATGGCCCCACGCCGATCGCGCAGCAACCACGCATTTTTACACCCCGCGGCACTGACCCACGGGCACGGTGCTCGATGTGTGACGAGGGACGCCCGCCCGCGCCATGCCCCGCATGCATGCGAATCGGAGCCCCTGCGCGCCTGGCCTAGATCGGCATGAATCGCCGGGCATGCCCATGCCCTGGCCCATGGGATCCACCCGCCGCGTTGGCGCCTCGGCATCCCCGCGCCGCGCGATGCCGTCCGCGGCAGCCTGAAAGCGACAACCCTCCGCCCGATGCGCTGCGTCCCCCGCAATGACAGATGCATCACAGCCCGCAAAGTCGGCCAAGCGCGTGCGCCTCACTCCCGGAGGCAAAGTTCCCGGAGGCATGTGCCCACGAATGCTCCCAAGCGGGCCATGACGCCCTGTCCAGGGGCTCGACCATCCGCGCTTGGGCCGCGTGCCCACCTTGCGCGTCCTCGATGACTTCTGTGCCGCAGTGTGAAGGTGCCCCGCCGTAGCTACCGGTGCCCACCAGCTGGCGGTCGGTCGTGGAGCGGCGGCCGGCCCCACGACCAACCCCTTTCGCGCTGGGGAAGGTACCGCACACGATGAGATGGGGGGCCTCGGAGGGCAATACAATCTGCCAAATTCTGTAAGCTCTGTGAGTCATTGCCGTCCATGTGCTCGCCGCCCACTCCTTGTCACATCGGCGCTGCTGCCCTCGGGCCAGGCGGCTATCAATCTCATCGACGCGGGGGCTCCAAAACCATGCTGCGAACCCTCCTCAGGAATTTATTGCGTTCCCACGGGTACCGCGTGGGTTCTTCTTGTCCCAGATGAGTGGAAAAGGCTCTTCAGGTCAATTGGAGTGGCGGAGGAGCGAACTGTGCGGTGGTCATGGGGTGTTCTGTACCGCGGTTTGCTGGTCACCAACACAGGATACGATCTCACCAGTTGTACCTGCCATTGGCGGGGGTAGCTTTCTCTGGACAAGGGACGCACGGAGCACGTACATCGGCATTACATACCCACTCAGGACCCCGCTCACGTTGCGCGCAGTGGTGCCTCAGTATCTCATGTTGACCGGGTACCCAGGGGCTGGCGACGTGAACCTTTCTGTATTGGGAGTGGCGGCCTCGGTTTTGGCACATAGGGATTCGAATACGTTTCCGGTGCCTTTGAGCCTCTCTCAAAAGGCAATAATCATACGCTACTGCGTACTGTACCCTAGCACAGCACAGCCAAAGACGCGATGCTGGCCAATAACGCCAAGTGACCATCCACAAGAATTGGAGGAAACTGTGCTGACGAGTGCTCTGCGACGAGGTGGTGAGCACGAGGAACCACCGTCAGAATCGGTAGCAATCAATGCGTGTTGACCCTTGTTTGGGCGAACATTTCCATGTACGAATAACAGACAAATTATCCGAGATGGCATGACTGAGACCGCTGAAACAAGCCAATTCCAGAATCAGAGATGTATCTTCTGAACTAAACCCTCACCGTTTCATCCCATACATGTGCAGCAGCAGACCGTGCATCATTCTCAGAAGCATTCTATCATGAACGTGGGCTCTGTTCTCTACAGCTGCGAATTGGTCAGACTATACTGCGTCATTTCTGAAAATCGTGGATTGTGACTGGATCATTAACCCGCTCCGTCAAGTGCCGATCCAATAGTATAGAAAAAGGCCGAGTAGCACCCACGGAGGTGTTGTCCGCTATCAATTGTAAAACAAAGCCAAAACGATAATGTCGGAGGTTTTATCGTCTGCCTTCGAAATTATGACCGAAAGAGGGGAGTAAGGAAGGATTGGGAGACATTCGATCCAAACCGTGATCCCTTTGAATCATGTAAAGGTATCAAACACTTACAATCAAAGCCGTGCCTTGGATGTCAAGCCAGAAAATGTTTACCCCATTTCTGTCGGCCGTAAAATCACCGCCGTCTTAAGATGAATCCTGAACGAATCTCACAGCATTTAAAATGACAGATGAGGACCGCCCCAGGCATTCTGAAGTTGAAGCGAATCCGCTATTCGATCGCCTGTTCCTAGGCGACGGCTCACAAGCAGATAATGACTGCAACTGAGTACTCGTTTGGACAAGACCGCATCTTAAATTACAAGAGGTACAAGAAAAGAAGGACCTCGTTCCTATTCGAATATCTGTGCGACGACTTGGGGTGGGCATAGGCCAGTCAAACTAACCCAATAGGCTCAGTTTTGCCGGCCTGCAGCATTTCCGTCGATGAACACAAGAGAACGCCAAATTCTTCTCCCGATTGGCGGGCAGTCCGCCCCACACGGCTCACGAGGTGCGGTGACGTCAACTCCACAAAACTTTTGAAAAGCAGGAACCCAAAACAGAAGAGGGAGCTAACACTATTGGTGGCGATTCTCAAAGTATGAAGATGAGCTGTTTGCGCTTCACTTTCTTTTCGAATTACAGTTGCCGGTCCAACACCGGAACCTGGCTCGGAGCCCTGGTGTCAACTGTAGTCACCGTGGACGCTGTTCCCATCACATCGCCTGTACATCCTCCGGCACAGTCATAACCGCATGCCTGGCCAGAGCGGCTCTCCGACATACTCAAAATAGCCGGGTGAAGGGACGGGGCAGGTTGATTTCTCGCAAGCAGTCGGTCGCATTCCAAACGCTGTGTGCTGTGGCCATCCCAGGCCGCGCCCGTACCGGAGGCGTCCGCACCCAGCGCTCGGCACGAGGCCGCGAATCCGGCCAGAGCGCGCCATTCTCATGCCAGGCATCCGCGGCTCTGCAATGGGCGTGGCGCACTAAGCAAACCGAGACGCAGCCCCAAACGGCCGGTGGCCTTGTTGCTCCCCTTCAGGGTAAGCGTGAACCCCTGCCCCTGGGGGACCTGCCAGCGGCACCTCCGTGGCGTTCAAGTTGGCCCGATTCGATCGGCCTCCGCGCCGCGCCGGTCGCTGCAACGTGGGTGGCGCAACCACTTGAACCGCGTCGCAGCCCCAAATGACCCGGTGTCCTTGTGTCTCACGTAAGAGCAGGTGCGCGTGCTTGCCCGAACACGAGCCGCAAACGGGCGCTGCGCAACGTTGACCGTGGTCCGAATTCGTGCAGCCTCCGCCATGTGGCATGCATGTCGTGCCGGGGGGGCCACAAATGCGCTCGGTTTCTGTCGCCGGCCTGAGAATGTGCTGATGGCAAGCGCGGGTGCGAGTGCTTTGATGTGAAAGCGCACGCCGGGTGTGTCCATGGCCGCAGGGGGAGGCTTCATTGGCCGAGGAGCAGGCTCAAGGAGGACATCGAGGAAGTCGAGGCGAGCGGCACACGCATTGTCCTGAGGATCCATGGGGAGGACAGGTGGGACCAGGGCGAGACGCCAATGAGATTTCGGATCAGTGCGGGACCCGCCTGGGTTGGCAGGCCCATGGAACGCGGGCGTGTGGGTGTACATGGGCAACTCCAATCTTGGCCTGGGCGAACGGGGGAAGCGTCCTGAAAGGCGATGCTTGGATGGGGGGCAGGTTGTTAGCGTGATTGAGTTTGGGTGGAATGAAGTACTTGAGCGACGTGCCTCCTGAATTCGATCCTTCTTCTGCTGTGCCGCAAAACATCGGCTGGTACTGGCGATTGGGTCATTGTCCAGCGACAGTACACCAATAGAGAAACACTGCGCGCGCCTGAGGTCTGCAAGGACGCAGGTTGGGCTGCAAGGACGTTATTGAACTGTGGGCGCTTAGCGATTCTCCGACGTACATCTTGCATGAATGGCCACAGCTGTCTACTGATATTACGAGTCTTTGCAAGGGGCGGAAATGCCACCCTTGTCGTTCAGGAGCTAAGCTCCGCGCGTTCGCCGTTTGATGATCAGCGCGGCATCGCAATAGTGCCACCTGTGGGGCGCTTCGAAAGCATCATGATTCGAAATGTGGCATTTCATTGAATCCGTTAACGGTGAAGATGACATAAAACTCACCGACCTGGCACCAATGATCGACCGCAATTTGGGAACAGTGTGCTTCAAATGCTACCGTCCACATGGCCGACATCATCAATGACGTCGCAGACGTTTGGACTCAACTTCAGAGCTCTTCGCACATTATGCGCAGCAAGCTCGAGCTTGCTATCCAAGGAGCTCGCTGGACGATCGTGGCACGATAGTTGAAGGCAGCTTTCCCTCCTCCACAGGAATGAGACCACGGCCTGGCCCCCCGCGAGCAGAAACGCAGAGGCACGGACTATCAAGGCCTTGGATGCTGGCTATCGTCACAGGGTTTGTCGCCATCGCTTATGCGTACCAGGTAGGTTCACCCCCCGATATCTGGCACCAGAGATATTCGCTAGCGAGGCGCTGCAGCGACGATGTACGTGGCAGAAGCAAAAGCGAAAACAATGACTTGTGCATGGACAGCAAACGCCAACGCCTGGACGTGGATTGTTTGAGTTGTAAAAGGCTTCAGAAGGTGGGGGCTAGCTTGGGATTCATCGTGCTTTACAAGGAAGAAAGATCTGGAGTGCAAAGAATGCGGTCGAAGGCTGGCGCTGAACTGGAAACTGTCGTCATTGGCGCCTTGCAATGTTCATTGACTCTCAACTTTCAATACCTTGGTTTTCTCACGCAGACAGGAAGTCAGCGAAATCGTGGTGGAATATGTTGAGCTATTTTTGGATTTCATGGGAAAAACCTCATGTATCGCATCTTCGGCACAAAATAGGGAGCTGAGGCCCGCTGGTCAAGAAATACTGCATGTCGTGTCGAGAACATGGTGCCCGTTGTGTTTCACAATTGCCAAGAGACGTGGGCATCCACTACGTCCACTGAATGTTCACTTCGAGTGAGGATACGATGGGGTACAACACGATTTCAGCATCAGGTCACCCTTCCTGTAATCGGCATTCAGTGGCAAATTAAGGAAATCTATGAAAAGAGGAAAAAGTTCTGCAGTGCCTCTGCTGGGATTTGCTTTGCGCGAGACATGGTAACAGCGGAACTTTCAGATAGTAGGAAACCCGTTGCAGCCAATAGTGAGCAGTCCGTTCATTATATCTGTGCATAGCAGCTATCGAGCGCTAGAGCTTAATTGATTGCGAAGATGTGCGCAATTCCAAAATCATTCAATGTCTAGTGCTACAGCAGCGACATCAGTCACTACTTTGAAAATGCAAGGTCACTGCTTGACCATCCAAGATGACTCACACTCGCAAACAACGCAATGAAGAGATTGTAGTGCGCAAGGGGGCTGGGCGCCTAGCGACTTCCGTCATCTTGCTGATCGCGCTATTGTGTTGAGCAGGGATTTTTTCTGCCGGGAGATGATGATGCAGCTGATGGAGCGATTTCTGAAGATTTTGACTTTGACGGTAAACTTTCAAGCCCCAGTGGATCATTTCCAAATTTTGCACGTTGTCGCGATTTCCCCTTCCGGGGGCTCAGTGCAGTTGTTTACGAGTTGTTGCTCAGTTGTCGGTTTGAGCTCAGTGTCTAAAGATGCAAGCAGCAAGCAAATGTTCCTGCTGTGTCGAGAGCTCGGAGCATGTGCCAGTACTTCCTGCGTGCTCGTCCAGCGTGCTCACGTTCCAATCTTCAGCCGTGCTCGATCAACAAAGTTGTTGACTGAGATGCAAGGGACCGACATGGCAGGTGTCGCACCAGCGGACCCGAACATCTCTTTTGCGAAATCAAACGAACACCTGCGGGCGCTCATCGACGACAGACCCTACGGCCACGTCCTCAACGTCATCCTGGGAGAAAAATGCGGCCACTACTTCAGAAAGTTTTTGAAACCCATCTGCTACAACTGGCGTGCTGCCCTCACATCTTTCGGCGTCTCCGGACCCCGGTGTTGCGAGGCTGTGCGCTCGTTCATAGACGAGGGCAAGTGCCTTTGCATCCCAAGGGTCGTGAGCGACGTCAGGAGCAGTGGACTGTCGTGGGCGCTTCAAATCGCAAGGATATGCGAGGTCCAGATTCCTCTGTTCTGGGACGTTCGGAAGACGCTTGAGTTGGATGTGTGCAAGCCCATCGTGGAGAACAGCCCGAGGGGACAATTGAACGCCGACTTTTTGGCCATGCGGGATGGCGGGGGAGCGCCCACTGGCAGCATTGATCCTAGCAACATTCCGTCTTTCGACGAAGTGTTCCAGCCACCAAAACCGGGGCCGTTTCAGACGGCCCTCGCCCACGTGGTGGTGAAGCGCCCCATGCCGTCAATCCTGAAGAACACAAAGTCGTCAGCAACCCATTTCGGCGCGGATGTGTTCTACCCAGTGGATCCGGGAGACGCCGGGACCTCGGCCAAGAAAGTCCGGGGGCAGCGCGTGGTGGCGGCAGGGGGCCCGTTTCCGTTGGTGGCCTTCTCGCCCGGCTACTCGGGCGTGCCCGGCAACTTCAAGAGGACCCTCAGCCACCTGGCGTCCCAGGGTGTCGTCGTGATATCGCAGTACTCGACATCTCATCTTCGTGTCGACATAAATAGGTAGGAGCAGGCAGCTCCCCTCGCCATTGAAGAGTCCATGCGGCATGAAATTAGTCGCTCTGTGTCTTCCGTGAAGATCCCTTCTTGTTTCGACAGCCTAAGCCCTGAACCACTGACCCACGGACACACGTTCGCCTTGTCAGCGGAAGAAGAAGGGGTCCTCACGGAAAGACAGAGGGACCAATATATTCTCAGTCCATGTCATGTGCGGGGCACCCACGTGGCATGGAGTATGATTTGGTGTGCACTCCCAACGGATTTCTTGCCGTCACTAGCGTCATCATGGGGAGCTGGCCTTGCGATTGCCACATGGTGAAAAGCCGTTTGGAATTCGGAAATGGCGATCGCGAAGAACGATGACTCTCATCGCCATAATGGCTCAGCCAAACGCCGGCCGATGTGATGGATTTGCTGGACTGGCTTAGATTTATAGATCCCCAAAGGCCTGTGGTGCTGATAGTTTCAGCTGTGGAACCGTTTAGACCACAGTCCACTGTTAGAAAAGCGCATGTGCGTATCCGCTCTGCTATCTTCATTGTTCTTTGCTTTGAGACCAAATCTTGAGTGCATGGTGAGTGAGAGAGTTTGATCTCCGTGGAACACTCCGCAGGAAGAAGATGGAGGCATGGACTAAGGACATGGTGTACATGCTGAAGTACTTGATCGAGCAGGGCAACCACACAGAGTCATTCCTGAGCAACGGTGTGGACGCGAGACGCACTGGCATTGCAGGGCATTCTTTCGGGGCTGGCATGGCCATCGCTGCAGCGGCACTGGCCAGGAACGAGTACGGCCTCAATGTCACCGCCCTCATGCCCATATCGGCAGCTTGTCTCATCATGGGCAACAGCTGCGAAATGCCATCAACGGTGCGAAAATCACTATTGCACAGGACGTTGCAACGATAAATCACTGCCCCACCTTGATGGTATTGGCTTTCAGACAGGCGAAACGACAGTTCCGTCTTCCAATTCTGTATGTACTCCATATATTTATGTTCACGATTCGAGGCCATTTGCTTGGGTCAGCTTGTGCAGAAGTCAACCAAGCTGTATAGTAGCAAGCAGCATCAAGACAAGAACTGCTGCACTAAGCATTGTCTTCCCCAAGAGAATGATAACAGACGTTTCTCTTATCCTTTGCGCATCCCTGTGTCCACATTCATGTGCTCTATATCATTTGGCGAGCATTTCTGCATCGTTTCTTTCCTAAAGTTGCACAAATGATGTGAGCGTAGGCTGCCCCCAAGCTGCATGGAATAAATGCCCTCTTCCTTGTGGGCACAATGGACGAGATCACACCCCCCAAGGCCTCAGAGTGGTTCCACAGCCAGATGCCCAACGACACCTCTTCCAAGGTCGTGTACCTCCAGGGCGCCACCCACTGCATGTTTGAGGCTGAGCCCAAGATGTGGCCCAACATGAACTCTGGGTGTGGAAGAGGCACCATGTCGCCACAGGAGTCTGTGCGGAGAATGCAGATCGAGATGGCCAAGTTCTTTGGCCAGCATCTGCAAACCAGTTCCTGAGCCATCATTTGGGTAGATTCAGGACCAACGTTCAGTGCTGGTCACGGTGGTTGCGACTGCAGCAGGGGCTGCCCAAGTACAGTAATGCATTTGTGCAGGCTGAAATCTGGCTCATGCAGGCCAGGACACAATGCTTCTGTTTCACAGGTCTGTCCTTGGTTTGTTTTCTGCGAGCAGCTTTGGAACTTCAGCAACAAAATATGTTGTGAGCTTTGTCATCTATTAAAATATTGTTGGATTTTCCCAACCCAACACCGCTTCCTGGAGACAATATGTGTCCCATTGTGAGCAGTGGCCCTCGGGCGTCATTAGCTGGCACCTGCTTGGAGCTGGTTAATGTGCTGGTAATTGTGCGGGTGAATTCATTGAGCGAAAGTTTGAAATCAGGCAGGCAGAGGGAGGCGAATGGGTAAGGAAGACACTATGTCAATTTTGAAATGCTTAGCATCAAATTGATGCAAGGGGGGCCTGGGGGAGGGGCGACCTGTGACGCTAAGTGAAGGGGAGGCGCGATGTCGATTTGTTATGCTTAGCGTCAATTTGATGTTAAGCTCAGACCGCAGCGCTCTCCTGTTTTCTTGCCTTGTGCTGTTCTGGGGCTCCCTCCTGTAGCGCCTGAAAATTGGTGGAAAAGAAGGGGTTTCACCTCGATACTGTGTAACGCCATCTGACCCCCACCCACCCCAACCCCCACCCCTTTGGCGTCAATCCTTATGTCGAGGCAAGGATGACTCAGAAAATTATGTGACGGTGATATGCAACTTCTGGGCAGTTTTGAGGACAAATAGTCAAAGTTGTGCTGATTTCGTGAATTGAGAAACGGGATTCTAAGTGGCATTATAGGCGAGGCGGGAAGCCTTAACTGCTCTGAATTGATCCTTTTTAAGGCCTTGTCTGAACATCGAACACTTGCAGCAGGTGATTTGGGAACAAATCATGAGTGCTTTCCAGTTGATCTGCGGCTTTTGTGTGTATCTTTCCTCCTGAAGTCGATTTTGTTGCAATTGCATAATCTCTTAGAGCCACAGGTTAGCCGCGAGGGGCTCTGAGCTTAACGTCAAATTGACGCTGAGCATAACAAATCGACATAGCGCCTTTCTTTGCTGTGCTTGCCCTGTTCCAATACTAAACCAGCATTGGGATAGCCTGACATCCATCTATTCGGTTGTATTGTTGCCACTCTTACCTATGAGCACAGATTCCACATGGTCCATTGATGAAACAGAAGCCACAAGAGAATGACGAAATATGTTAGTGTCGGTTGCTTCCCAATGCATACCACCTCACATTTCAACTTACAACAAGGTGTGAATCCGCATTGATGCCATCAGCTCAATATGGCAGACAATTGCCATTGCACCTGCCAGGCGATATCATGTTGCAATGTTGTGATTTGGAGAGTCTTTATTGAACTGTTGCCCTTGCCTGGGCAGAAGTGCACAGCAGCCACAAAAGTGTTGTTTAGTGTCGTTCAGAGACTAATGATCGCTTGCTAGTATTTTGCCAGCGACCCCACTGTTGGGATGCAGTTTCGACAGTGGCAAATATGCAATTGCCAATACAATATCCAGTGTGTGTGCAAACAGATTCCAAAGCGATGATCTGCTATCAGCTGAGATTCGGTGCAGAATTTGCAATGTACACGTGTATGCATTCGTGCTGTGCAACAACAAGGAAGCATTCACCTCCTTAACATATTGTATTGTGCTGAAGTTTTCAAGTGGTTTTAAAGATACAAATTTCTATATGTTGCACATGAAGTTGTCCACACAACATGTGCAAGTCCATTCTCTGATGACCCTTCACCATCACTGCAGTGAGCACTGTCACATTTACCAGTCAAGATAGCTGTGCCCGATCACCGCTGTTCACCACTTCCCATCGATGGAAACTGAACTGGCCATTACACTATCCCTGTCAGTTGGCTTCCCGTATCTGAGCCAACAGTGAGCGGAGTCCAGAGCAGCCCTCAGCCGCAGGGGCATTCTCTACTTTCTTGCCACAAAAGCTGTGCAACTGTGCAGCAATTATCTGCAGATTTGCGGAAACGTCAGAGGTGTGATGTGGTGGCTGCCCTTGAGGGGCTTCTGACGACTCGTCAACGTCCATGGCATCGTTGGCCAGCCGCCCAACCCGATCGTTCTCCATCTGGGCTGAGATCCGTGATGCCTGCCACCAAAGATTCGACTCTTGAAACTGAGGGAACATAGCAGCAACAGATATAGAGCACAATGGGAAAAGGGTGGTTGAATACCATGTTGTCCAGAGGGTTACCTATATTATGTCTGTTCCACTATGCCAAGCATCAATAGTACTCAGCAACGAGCAGGACATTCCCTGGAGTACCCAGGAAACTGGTGTGCATGCCTGTCAGCTGTGATCTTACCAACATTTGTAGACCCAAGTAAATTGCTCTGAAGTTTTAACCGTTAGGCAAAATTGTAACAAGTGGAACTCCTGCCTCAGCCGTGTACATAACAGAACAGATGCTTGCCTGTGGCAGTAGACTGCCAAAACAGTGGCAATCACCGCCACAGTGGGACACACTTAAGGCATCTGTCCAAAAGAATATTCTCACTAGCATACGATTACAAAGATTGTGGTGTTCCGAGAAAACTCCGTTCAGCTTCAACACTCCCTTTTCCCATTGTGAGTGTTTGTCCAGTTGTACATAGCCCCACTGTCCTTTCTTGCTGCTTTCCTTGACAAATGATGTTTTATGCAATAGCTGGGTGTCCCAATGTCTGATAATGGATGCCAGTGTGCAACACAAGTTTCAACCACACACAAGTACCCATAGCCATATGAGTAATAGAGACTGGACTCACTGACATGCTGAACAGATTCCCTAACCACAAGATCGAGGCCCCAATGACCTATGCCAAGTCTCCGTTCTGCACTGTTCAGCACCGATCCACACTCAAGCAGACAGAAATCAGCGTCTCCTGATCCTACCTTCATCAGCACGCCCTCTGGGAGGCCAGCCAGCCTGGCAACGTTAGTGCCATAGCTCTTAGGGCAGGGGCCCCTGGCCACACGATACAGGAAGGTCACCTCGTCGACCCTCGACCCGGCCCCACCTTCACCCTCCGTGCAAGACACATGGCATGCCATGTGCTTGATGGCCACAGCGGGATTGTGCTGGTGCTCTTGGGATAGCGCATGGTAGTGGGTTGCGAAGAGTGCACGGCAGCATATCGTGCTGGTTAGGTGCTGGAGGACGGCAGAGGCAATGGCTGCCCCGTCCGATGTAGCCGTCCCCCGGCCGAGCTCATCAAGTGCCACCTGTTTGGAGGGAAACACACATTGGCCTTTCTTGCAAGCATTCTTGCATAGGATGGGAGTGACCATGATGAGACACCTTTCTCTTCTGCAACCATGAATCTTCAAACGTTGCACTGCAGCGCCCTACAGGGTCCTGGGTATGACTTACGAATGTGGATCAGCGTAGTCCATGGAATTGAGACTGGTAGGAGGTGATTCCATTCGTGACTTTCAGAAGCTAACTTTTGTGCATTAAGCTTGCAAACAGCCAGTGGCAAGGTTGCCATGCGTAATGCACTAAAGGTCGCAGGGCTCGTGACAGAGCCTGGACATTGCTGAGTAAAGACGGGGAGCAGATTTAGTGCAGGTTGTACTCAAGACAGAAAGTATTGGAGGTGTGAAAGACACAAACAGCGACTGCGAATTACACTTACAAGCCAGATTTGCAGTTTCTTCAACGAACTGCAAAAACACAAACATATTCACATGAGTCAAGCAACCCCAATGCAAACAAAGATATGCCCTCACCAACGATCTGCTTGTTGCTTGATTCAACATTGTTGCAGTTTCAGAGAGCTCCACAAAAAAGGTAGACTGCCCAGACAGTATGTGATCGCGAGCACCCATGCGCACGAAAATAGAGTCCACTGGAGATAACTCAAGAGACTCTGCTGGAACCAGGGTGCCAACCTGCATGGAAACGAATGTCCAGCTGCACTTCAGCATGCAGGGGATCAGCAAATGATCACAAAATGCCAATACTGTGGATTGTATGCGCAAACCTGCATCAAACTTAAGGTGACACATCACCTGGTTTGGGACTTTGGCAGCAGTGCGTCTCAAACAATACAAACAGCAGCTATAAGAATAAAACTGCTGCCATTGACATTGGAATGCACCCAAAATGATGGCAAACATTGGATCTCCAAGTTCCTTGAATAAATTTCAACTGGTCAACAGAGCAGAATGTATTGCCTGGGTTTGCAACTGCAGTGTTGAACGATCGTGAGCAAATTACTTCTCTTTTCCAGCACAAAAAATACCCACACCAAAGTGCTAAGAGTGGACCATGACAGATGCTCAAATACTGAAAATGGCAGGAGCGTGTATTCATGAGGCTGACCATTCCTGAACTTCCACCCACCCATGACATATACCTGTGCAAGCTCTGCTGGCACTTGTCCACAAACCCTTGGAGATACTGCAAGCAGAGGCAGCCAATCTAGCCAACCCGTCGCCACAGACTCAACATCACTAGGGAAAGTTGCCTTCAACATCGCCCTTCAACATCACAATCTGCTGAAAAAAAAAACTAGATTGCTCAAAGTGCAGCCCCAAACCAGTCTCCAGCAACCCAGCTCACCTGGGCCATCAACACTGCAAGGCAGACCTGCCTTAGAAGGGTGCTCTTGCCGCCCATGTTCGGGCCAGTCAGCAGCAGCGCAGGGGCGCTGGGCCCTCCAAGCTCCACGTCGTTCGGCACAAAGCCGCCACCCCCAGTGCGGATGCTGCACGGGTGGCGCAGCGCCTTGGCCTTGAAGGTTGGTGCACCTGAGGGGCTGTCGGTGACAAAGGTGGGGCAGCACATGGCGCCATCCATGTTGGCAGACGCCGAGGCAAGTGACATGAGGGCGTCCAACTGGGAGGTGACCTCCACTGCAGTCGACCAAAGGCTGCACTGCGAGATGAAACGCTTCACGAGGGCCTGTGTGGAAGGAAGGATTGCATCTTACAAACAACCAGCACGACCCACCAAATCTCATTGACATGGTGGTGGAAGTGAACGTCTATTCAAAACTTAACGAGTTGGAAGATGAATTTGCCTGAATGGAGAGGCCCTTGAGAGGAAATGCATTCTGCCAAGTGCTGTTTGTAACGAGACCTTTGTTCGTTCTTCTACATACCCATTTTGCAACAAGGAATGCCAATCAATAGATTATGTACATTGGTCCCATTTGCAGGAACACTTTGTTGGCTTGATGCCCCCTGTACGCCCACTCACAACAGCACCAACCTGCAGAATATTTGAGAGCTCCGTCTCACACTGCTCTTCGGCCTCCTCAAGCTTGGCCACAAGGTCTCTCAGCTCTGGGCTCATGTACCTGTTGAAGCCCTTGCGCTGCGCTGCCAGTTCGAAGTCGTGTGGGACGCGTTTGATGTACGCTTGTGGCACCTCAATCAGGTGGCTCTGCTTTGTGATCGACACGTACCTGACATCTTTTCCACAACGGAAAATGGACCTCACTTCCTGCAGGTAGTCCTGCAGTTCTTTGTGTGCATTGGACACTGTGGCTTTGGCTGCGTCGTACTCAGGCACAGCACCCTGCTTCAACGCACACAAATTTCAGCACAGCAGAAAAGGAAACAATTCACAGAATTGCAAATATGTGTACAACCGCTGCTTCATCTTTCTTTTGGTGGTGCTTGCGCTCCAGGAAGTCTACTGCTGTAGATTCAGCAAGTGCATTCATTTACAACTAATTTGGTGAACATTGCTTTCCAGACAAGGAGGACTACGATGTGGGCAAACATCTTGGAACCAGATGTTCTGTGATGTTATTGCCTTAGTATAGACAAAGATGCACAAGTCCCCAAGAGTAAATTGAATTGCAAGCAGCAGAGCTTAATGTGCAAGGAAAGAAAGCCTGCACTCATACCAGCCAACAAGAGCAGGTGTGAGAGTCAGACACTGCATATTATGTTGAAATGCACAGGGATGAATCAACGCCCTGTCCACTGAGCCTAACTGCAGGTACAGTGAAGGTGCTGATGTTGTGCCCAGTTGGCACAATATTTGGCAAGCATTCATGTGTCAGTAGTCACTGAGCGGCACAACTGCGTACTCAGCTCCAAGTTGCAAGGGTGTCAGGAGGTTGAATTTGCAGCCTCAAGCAAAGGTGCTAGGGACTGGCAAGACATATACATCAGCAATCTACATTTGCCAATGTTCTACCCCTGTGGGGGTCTGATTTGTATCTCCACAAGTTGTACATCGCATTGGTAGATGTACAAAGTAGCACAGCTTCGAATGTTCGACACACTGCATCGCACGATCCGGACATCCCGACATCCTGACATCGCCAGCTTGGTGACACAGCTTGCTTTGCCATGTTTTGGCAAATGTAATCGCAACGGATTTCCACTGCATCGCACGCAAGTCTTCCCCATGCAAGAGATGTGTTTCTAGTCAGCTAACTTATTCTGAGATTTACTAACAGGAGAGGGACCCACTTCCAGTGTTGGCACTCCATGTAAGCTGATTGAAAACAACATTCACTTTCAGCATCAAAAATAAACATGTGCATGCACCTACTGCTAACCTACTCTGTTGCTGGTGGCACCTTAGCAATGCAAGACACAACGGGGCCCACCATAGGCCTGACTAGTAAGGGTTGATTTCATGCATGATCTGTTTTCTGGGCTTCTAAAGATAAATCTGGACACCGGCACACACACCTACCCACACAGCCTCCTTTGTCTCACCGTTTCACACTGGGATCACGCACATAATCGCCCCGATGGACATGCTACTCTGACGTGTGCCCTATGGCTGATTGTTGCTTTTCCCCTCTTGGTCCTGGAGCTCCTTGCTACAATGCCTAAATCTTGTGGTGGAGCAGCAGGGATTGCGGCTCGTCCGCATGCAGCAGAAATCCTCAAGAATAGCGCACAAGACCTACCCGGCCCCCCCCCCCTCCGCCACACACACACACACACACCACCACCACCCATCCAACCTACCCCACCCATTCACCCACCTGCACAGCGATCACTCTGCCATTTTGCTCTGCTTCATCCCAATTGGCTGCATTCAGAAGTTCCTTCAGAGGCTCGTCCATCTCAGGGAATTTGTCCCCAGGGGTCACCAATGACCGCAGCAAGGAGCTCTTCAGAGAATTCACCACGGGTTGAAACGCAGCGATTCCAGCTTGCACGCGCTGCAGGCCCTTCAAGGCTGCAACCAGTGCACGCACCTGTGTGGCAATGCTGATGCTGATTTTCGTTCCGGACATCAGTAAATATTCAAGTTCTTGTCCCACAACAAAATAGGTCACAGCAATCCCAAGGGCCAACACTGAGCTAGTGGTTCCAAAATGTCATGGCAGCTGGGACATCACTCCTTGAAAGTCATGAAGATCAGCTGTCACACCTTCCTGCGAGCTGCATCCTCGTAAAGAACAACATGCTCAGCCTCACGCCCGCAGTGTGCCCCTTCCAGTGTGCTTGCATGCAGTCTCGCCAGTGCCCTCTCCAGGTCCCCCACCCCTGAGAATGCTTTCCTGGCCTGTATCGCCGCGCCTCCAGCCACCTTCAGCAGGTCCTGCACGGCCTGCTGCCGCTCACAGATCTGGGCCACCTGGCCCAGCGGCCTACAGAGCCACTGGCGCAGCAGACGGCGGCCAAAAGGCGTGACACAGTGGTCCAGGGTGGCCAGCAGGGAGCCCTTGGTGCCGCCGTTGCTGTTTTCCAGGACTTCGAGGTTCTCAAGGGCAGAGCTGTCCAGGAGGACGTGCTTTGGCATCGCAACTTCCGCTGATTCTGTGGGCTGCGGGTTCAACGAGCAGAAAACAGCTGTTGGTTCATCGAGTTGTGGGATGTCAGTGGGTGGACCAAAAGAACATTGCTGGCAGTCAAGGTGCAACGTGGGACAAACGAAAAATAACAGAATGACACAAGTGCTGCTGTTGGTGCTCGTCAGCTGTCGAAATTCGAGTGCAGGCCACAAGCCTGGGACGAGACTCTTGCAATGTGGGTAACAATGTACGTGCGATCCAGATTCTTGCAGAATTCCAAATACAACAATGATAATGTGTCCGATTCCAAGAGCACATCTGATTTCAAGGTGATAGCAAACACATGTGACTCCAAACCAGGCTGCCCAGCAAAGCGCCCAAATGGCAGTGAGCATGTGTGCAATACCCATTTCCAACCTGCACGCTCCTGTCAGAGGCATTAGGAAGGAGCTCAAAGCGGGCCAGGGGGATGACAGCCTTGTCCAGCAAGCCCGCCTTCAGAAAGTTGACAACTGCACCCAAGGCTTCCAATGTAGCCTTGTGACTTTCAGGGTTTGCCACAATCTCTTTGAGCTGGTCTGGCAAATGAGGCTTCTCTTCAGTAGGCCCTTGAGAAGTGTCGCTGAAGTCAAAATACTGAGACAATGTGTCAGTGACTTGGCTGTGTGGAGAGAAGCCTTCCAGCCCCATGGGGAAAATGTTGATACGTGGATTCCTGAGGCACGTCTTGAGCAGTTGCTTCACAGATGGCCGCAGGCGATCGTTGTCATTGGGAACAAGAACTTCAACAGGCTGCAGAGCTGCAGCCACAGCAAACCAAGATGTCAATGCACTTGAGTGTGCGTTGAGTTGAGCACATGACCTGCAGTTCATCTGAAGCCTGCCATACACGAGACTGGGTGCCCATCCTGCATGCAAAGGGACTTGACCAAGCCAGTCATGCAACAGCAGACATCACCAATATCCACCCACAGGTCTTCACCATGGATGGTACTGTGCTAGGGGCCCTGTAAGCCGATACCATAAATTTGCTAAAATTGAAACTAAATTGTGCGTGGCAACAATTCGACAGCAGCATCTGTATTCCAGAAACCCATCCAGGCAACGCCAAGCAGTCTGTCTTTCGATTGAAAGCAACAAGTGCAGTTGCAGCGACTTTTCTGCATTGCATTGAGTGCTTGCTTTTTTGTGATACTCCAGTTTCAGCAGCAATGGGCAACTACCATTTGTTATCCTGAATGTGAATCGCTGTACAAACTGCCAAAATAACAAGATGTCCGAAACGCTGCACAAGTCTGCGACCGTGCCGCAATGGCTTCTAACTTTGCAGATGTCCTCCACTAAATATGGTCCAACATAGTCACGGTGCTCAAAAATGAATGATCCTATTGTGTTCAACTGACATGTAGCAACTCAGCCAATGCACAGGCCAATGGAAAGCCCTGGGCCTCACCAGCAAGATGGGTCCTCAATTTGGAAGACAGCTCATCGTCATTAAACTCCCCCAAGAACAGGTGAACAGAAGCAACATCAACGGCGCACACTCCCACCCTGCAGCATCCTTCACTTCCAGGACTTTTTTCCATTTCGATCACTGCACAAGGACAAGCAACGAGAAAGGCTTCTTTCCCAGAAGGCCATGGCACTGCAAGAGCGATTCGCAGGATGCCCCTTCACATAAGTAAAAAAACAAAGAGCATATGAAAAATATTACAAGCGAAATAAAGCATGCATTACACACAGCCGTGCTGCTTGAAAAGGCAGAGACAGGCTGAATGACAGGATTGGGATACCCAGCACTGAAGCATTGAAATGCTGACCAAGACAAAAGCAACAGACCAACTGAGCTGCCCAAACTGTATTATCCAAAGTTTGGACTCCAAACTAGTCGAGTGATATCCAAACCGTACTGCTGTTCGAGTAAGCTTGTTTACTTTGTAGTTGTCTTTGCTACAGGTCGCTCCAGTAAACCAAGGCATTCTGAAATAGCAAGCCTTGGTGAGCCACAGCTCAAGCTGTTTTATCTTGGTTTCCACCGTCTTCATGCCCTCTGATATCAAAGGTATTCAAGGGATTTTTAGCTCCTTGATGTCCCTTGATTCTTAACTTCAGTTGGCTCCGGTTTTTGGGTATGTTAGCAGTTTGCCAGAGACAATGGCTTCAAAACTTGGACTGCTAGTCAGAATACTTGGGCGCTTCATCGTGCTCATGACCCACAACTGTACGGATGCCTTCTTATTGACACATGGTGGCCTGACTGATGCTTGAGCATCTTACACAGCACAAAAGGGCTGCACCAAGCAACAAAGGGATATGTTCGCCACGATGGGCTGCTGCATCCCAGTCAACAGTGCACCAGAACAAGCGATGTTGTTATGGAATGTACAGCTGCAGTTGTTGAGGTTTCCACCAGCCACAGGCAAAAACACAGGCACAATAGCACAGCAGCAGCACATGTGACAGTGTCCCTTGATGGTATTCAGAAAGGGTACTCACCTGACATGAGGTATGCAGGGTCCGGATGGGCTTGCACCATTTCAGCATCTCTGAGAGTGCCCTTTGTTAAAACTGCCACCTTCTCTCGCCTCACCACCTTGGCCTGCTGCTTGCCCATGGCCCGCAATTTTTCATTCCGAAGTTTTAGCTGGTCAGGAGTTTCTGTCTTTTGCATATAGGCACAGCTGGCATCAGCCATCTATTGCAAGCTTTTGGAAAAAGATGGCATCAGCAGAAAAGCAATGGTCAAACCACCACTGTGTCAGGAGCGCTTCTGTTGGTGCACTTTCTCTAGCCCATACTAAATATGCCTGCAGTTTTCTGAAGTGAAAGAATTGGTCATTGGGTCAACTAGCAAGCAGCTTGTCTTGTCAATACAGAAATCGTTCATAAAGGTGTTCTATAGACTGAAAGTAAGCAGAGCAGAGCACCAACAGCAAAGCCACTGTGTTGTGCCATGTGCAGTCACGATTCTGTGCACTACTATTGAATGCCAACAATCAGCTTTTTGAGCATGGGCAAGTGAACACAACAAACGGTCCCATGAACTCATGCCTGGCATCGTGTTGGCAGTGCACTGCGCAACGTGACATCTGACATATATTCAATGAAATAATGATTGTGAGGATAAGAAAAGGTGTATGAGTAGTTAAGTAAGTATGGTGACAGTGGGTAAGGTGTTTATTACGGTGACATGGAGAATGATGGGGGAAAGACATGAACTGAGCATGCTTGCGGTGAATGCTACATGACAGACAGGACCATTCTGTTATCCATCTGGTTGCGGCTTGCTTCCCGTGCCTGGGAGCGACCGTGTGTGAGCGCGAGCGAGGAGCGCGAACAGCGAAACCACTCGATAATGATAATGAAGGCAAACTCATTCGTTGCCCTTATTTCATAATACCAAATGGAGTGTATCGTTCTGAATCAAAAGGAAAGAAAAGCAGTACCTGCTCGACGACCACAACTTTGTATCCCACTCTGGCCAACGACTCAGCCATTTGGTGGTAGGCAGCCTCTGGGAAACCGCAGTGAGGGGTGTCACCCTTCATGTACTGCAGGCCCAGCACATCCGCCCCAACATGGGCATCCATTTCGAACATCTGAACACCATATCGTGCCAAGGATTTGTAAATTTCTGCTGAACACACTCGTTATGAAGACAAAGCACTGAGACTGTAAGTGCGTCCCCAAAGTGTTCTAGTTGCTTGAACCTATGTCAGGCGATGTTGAACATTGCAACGTTGTCCTGAATAACATTGATACCAACGAGCCAGGAAAGTTGGCAACCAGAACATGGCCAAGTGCATTTGGTGATTGTTGTGTGAGTGAATGGCAACAGGAAGATGCAGTCACAAGGATGGACTGACAGCCTCTATATCATCCACTCAATCTCCTCGAATCCACAAAAAACCTGAGAAATCGTGGGACAGAATCGTCAGAAAGCATGGAAATCAATCTTCCAGTAAAGGCTACTAAAGCGTTTTAGTTGTATGAAACGATTGCATCCATTAACATGCACACATGTTTCACTTGTCAGCAGAATACGAAAAATTTCGCAAGAGAAAACATAGCCTCGCTAGTCACAAAAACGAAACAAGTGTATCAAAGCATGCACACTAACGTTTTGTAGGTCGAAGGGAAACGAGCTGCTCATTTTAACACCATCCTGCACTAAGAAGAACTGAGAGGATGAATCAAATGTAGATAGAAAGAATCGTTGTGACAGGAGGCACCCACCTCATAGAACTTTCCCATTTTGAACAGCAACACAGCATCGAAGTTCTTTGCCTTGATCTCCCACCATTGCTGGCGACCTGCCGTCGCTTTCTCCTTCAGCCAGTCCTTTGGGACATGCACTGTGGCTGGATTGTATCCAGGATCGCCAGGCCGCCTGTGTTCACTGTCTCTGATCTTTTCAGGAGTGAGGAAAGGAAACCTCAGGCTGTCTTGGTCAGAAAACTTGTGTGAGTCCTGGGATCGATTCACGTCCACACCACATATGATCGGAGACACCATACCTTGCAAACACCAACCATGAGCTCTGTCAACACAGCTGGCAAGAGTTTCACCAAGAGAAGTTGGTGGACAGCAGAAAAGCTTCTCCCATCTTTAAATATGAATCTTTGAAGCCAGCACTGCACTGTCCAGGGTTCCACTTGTCAGCTGATTGTTCCCCCAAAATTGGCATTTAGCACACATATCACATCGGAAGTGCAACTTAAAAACACGGGCAAGTTCACCATCGAAGCTTGCCAAGACACATTGTTTGTGCAATCATGTGAAACAAAATACAAGGTATCAAGCTTTGACCTATCATTGACTGCACTGTTTGTCGATCAATTCTGCCCAAAGCGACATTAACACAGGTTCATCCTATGCACTGTGCGGCAGGTTTGCATCAATAGGCAGATACATTGTGGACAGAGCATTCGTGAGCATCTCAGCAACATCCAACAGCCATGAACTCAAATGCCAGAAAGTTGGTGATTGAGACAGGAAGTGTGTGAATAAAGTACAGCACTTGCACTCAGTCCAGTTCCCCACCTGTACGCTGTCCTGTGGTGTGCATTGCACTATCCAAAGCCTTCTGCAGCACTGACCCTGCATCGGCCCTGACTGGTGTGGTACGGTCCATTGGGGTCGTCATTCCCATTGGAGTTATGGTGCCTGCTCCTGTGCAGCCTGGTGTTGCAGCTTTAGCAGTGTGGGCTGAACATACAACCAATGAATTTCAATCAGTGCTCCACAAAAGGACACAGTGCATTTGCATCCACTTGCCAGGTGCCTCAAACAGTGCAACCTTACATGTTCAGACCCAGAGGACACACCAAATAGGAAAGCAACAAAATCAGAATCCCCTGATGTTCATCGTTCCCTGCAAAATATGAAACTGAAATCTGGTAGCTGCATGGCCTGTAGGAACTCATCGTCAGACAATGCAGAAGTTAGTCGGAGGAAGAGCCACTCTCCTGCAAAGGAAGCCACTCACTTGCAATCCTGCTTGACGGTGTGACTTGCTTCTTCTTTTGCACTTGGCCCCTAGCTCTGGCCGCCCTTTTCCGCTTCTTCCCGGCCAGCACCTCCTCAACTTCTTCTTCATCGGACAGGTCACTCTCAGAGTCTACATCCATCGCATTGTCGTCTGAAGACTCTTCAGACTGCTGGTATTCGCTGCCAGACTCGTCGTCTTCTGGGGCATCTGACATGGACACGGTGGGCACAGCCTTGGGCTGGGCAACACCTTCATTGCCTCTGGGCAGGAAAAGATACTCTTCGTTCGCAAGGTTCAGCCACTCCTTGTCGCCATCGTCATATGTCACTGGGGCAACAAGCACACGAATATTTCATGCCATGAACAGAGTTGGCCAGTTCAGTAGATTCTCGTAGCATTTCACCTGAGAGAATGCGTTTGCACCAGCTTGGCCCATCATACCCTCGAATACATTGATGGACATATTTCACACAACACAGATGCATAGGGAGCTTCCTTTCCTGTGTAGCTATTGTCTTTTGTTACGATTATTGGAATTCTGCCCCTGGATGACATACATGAGGACGTGGCTAATATCTGAGCAATCTATGTGCCGACCCGCCCCACGTGGCCGGGAGCAAACGACTAAACAAAGAGATGTGAGCAGCACTGATTAGTGCAAGTCGCTGGGAGATAAGCAGTAGTGGAACTGCTGCACCCACAAATTTGTGAATTCTGCCTCTTGTTAATTCTGTTGTAAAGGTGCTCTTTGGTAGTTGAACAATCTCCACAACAGGCAGGCAAGTAACCAAAAGAAGCTGACGTCAAGGGACTGGGCCTTGGGCAAGAGCATAGCCCACCATGATGTTTCTTGCCGTTGTAGTCGTCTATGGTCCCCGAGTACCAGCAGCGGTCCTTGGGCCAGTATACATTGAGCCGCCGGCCGGTCATCGCCCTGTCGTCCATCGTCTCGGCAGGCGCAATGGGGCGGTCGACTTTGCCGTCCGCAGTTCCTAAGCCAAGAAAGGGTATTCAATTCTACAACCACACCTGGTGATGGTTGGAACAGTATTGCGGAAGTTAATGCGAAAGTGCATCGAGAAACCCGCCTCATATTGCATCGGCATTCACGCGCAATAGTGAACAGTTTCTGTCGAGGTTGAATACGACCGCCGGCGGGTACCTGACAAGGGGGAAAGCAGAAGACCAATGACACATGAACCTGGAGCACGGACCGGAGGTGCGCATAGGGGACGTGAGTCAGCACGAGTCCATTCTGAAAAAGCCCAGCACCTCCCATTCGAAGACGACAGCAACACCGAAACTGCAACTGGGCTGGTGCGCCCCCGGAGGGCAAGCCCGCAATGGACGCTTGCCTAAGGTTGGCACCATGTCGACGGTCCAAAGACCAAGGCTCATTCCCACACTGCAACATTCCGAAATACACTGGCCAGTCGGCTGCACAACGCAGTTTGCTTCTCGATCACACCGTCTCAATGGACGACATGCATTCCTTCATTCGGTTTCCAGGGGCCAAAAGCTGGGGTTCGCTTGAGGCTGTGGACGCGCATAAAGATTCGTTAACGCAGGGCGGAGCTACACAATTCATCGCCGTAGCCAATCTATTTATGTTATTAAAAGCAACGCCAAACATGGTCCCCCTCCCCTCCTACTTCTCCCCGGAAGGATGCGCCAGACGACTGCCTTGCCACATTCCGCCATCGCCCAACCGTCACCGCGAAATCTTCACGCCCCCTGCCGCCCACCTGGCGTCCCCATCGCCGCGATCTTGGCAGTGGAGTTAGTGGAGGCATTGGACGGGGGCGGGGTGGGCAGCCGCCCGTTGGCGGTGGGCGTGGGAGTGAAGAACGCCGCGATCGACTTCTGCTTCATCGGACCAGGCGTCGCCGCCATTCCGCCGGCCCGATCCGCTGCGACGCGACGAACTCGACGACCGGACGACTCGACGACTCGACGCGCGGGGCCCTGTTGAAAACTGTCCGTGCGGCGCGCCGCTGGACTTTGCGTGGTCCCCCAGGAGAGCCGCGCCAGCAACGGACAGATAGATTTGGGCGGGCGTGGCGGGGACTGAAGTTCTGCGGGGCGGGCCCCAGCCCCAGTTCGGACCGGATTAGGTTAGGTCGGACCTCGGAATAGGGATGGAGGGCCGAGGGGTGCTTGTGCGTGTGCCAGTGGACTGCTTGGCAGTCGAAGCAGCGACATCGTTGGAGTGGCCAGAAGGGGCGACCGTACCTTTGGGGGACAGGAGCGTCGTGCGACACGACTCGTATCAGTGTTGTGAGGCTGCTTTGCGAGGCGGGCGCGGGGAACTGTTTGAAAGCGCGCGAGGCTGGGCAGATGTCATGCGTGAGGTTGGTTTGGACCGCCCAGATCCGGCTTTCCCTTGGCTGTCCGCGCTTTTGGGACAATGTTCCGTTCTTCGCGACTGAGCTTAGAGCAGACCAAGGCGAATCCTTGAGAAGTGTGCAGTTATCGATGCGCGTGATCTCCAACGGCAGTCATCGAGTGTAGCAGTGATGGACATGTCTTGCAACTGCACAGAATCTGCTGCATTTGCCCATAATCGCCTGGAGATGCGAGGGCAGAATGGCTGTCATACCCCAAGGAACGTTATGGAAAGTTCACGTTTCGTTGTGCTTAACTGCATTCATGCATGCCCGAGTCGTCAGTTGACTGTTGCTTGATACCGTAGCTGTCAATCAGCGCATGGCTGTGCTATGAAGGAACCCGCTCGATCCGTCGGCCACAACAAAAGACATGCAAATGTGCGGCTGCTGACGTCGTGTCAACATTTAGGCCCTGCCGGGGCTGCCTGCGCATCTGTCGTTTGGCACACATCCAGCGGGGCCCACACCTCTTGGCAGGATGTTAAAACGGTTGTTATCCTTGGGGGAGCCCCTGCTGCGTGTAACACCAGCTGGGCGCCTTACCAGTAACGCCACTAGCTTCTCAGCTGCAGGTAGGTGGGCACTTCGACTGTGTGGACTGCATTGTTAGGGGTGGTTAGTTGTGTATCTCCTGGAAAATCTAACAACTGCACGTTCCAGCTGCAGAATTCTCATACTGGAATTCAGAAACTGTTGCCCAGAGGAAAAGAAAAGAGCGTTGCATGTTTTGTTCACGGCTTGCAAGATTATGCAAACATTTGTCAGAGCAGTGACGAAAACAGTCATAGCGAACGTAGCCAACAGAGGATTTGAGATTTAAAACTTTGAATGATTTTGTCACAGCGACTTGCACTTTTCTGGAAAAACTGTGGCAAGCTTTCCAAATAGTATTTCAATATTGCAAGTTGGATCTTCACTCCGTGTTGCCTTCTTCCAGCTGTCCTTGATGGTGCCTGAGCAACCAAGTTTGCAGTGTAGAGCAGTGCTGTTTCCCAATGGGCATTGCTGCATTGAATTGATGGTCACTACCAGCATTGCAGCCAAAGCAAGGACAAGGGCATTAACACTAGGTCGTGTGCAATGGTGTGCGGAGTTTTTGAACTTGTGACATTGAACCACAGTTGGTTGAAACTTTCTCCAACCATCAATGCATGTGGGGTACAAGTGCCTTGTCTGTCCTATTTCATTGCCATATGCAATCAATGGAACTTCGCCTTCACAGATTCAATGTGTACAATGTATTATCACAACATGACACCCACTATGGCCTTCTTTGCTCCCAGGCCTGACTGTGCTTCATTGTGCCTGTTTACAACAACTGCGCAGCCTGACAAATCTTTGCTCTGTTAAGCTATGTCAGACAAGATCATGTTTCTCACGCTTCTTCTCTGAACTCTCTTGTTGGAACAATGCAGCAGCAATTGGCATGCACACTGTGCAAAGAGACAGTGAACACGTTCTCAGTCAAAGAGGCCAGGGCAGCACCTTGGCACCTGTTATGGATGGCCAAAACAGAATGGTGGAGAGGGGGAGGAGAGCAAAGGTGCTGGATGGCAGGCAGGTAGCAAGGGAATGGAACCTGGAACTCAAGGCTGAGGCTGACAGGCTTGCCGGCATGCTTGGCAGAAAGCCTGCCCTGTGTGTAATACTTGTTGGCAATCGGCCAGACTCAGTTCTGTATGTCAAGAAGAAGGAGGAGATCTCTCAGGAGGTAGGCTTTGATGTCAGTGCCTGAGTGTGCAGCTGTGCAGATACCCATGTTGACTATAATTGTCGGCTCGTCACAAGTTGCCACCGTTCAGAAAAAAGGGGTATGTCAGGCCAAATTTGACAAATTGCTGAGAAACTGCGCTTCATCGGTGGGCCACTTGCTAACAGTGGCTTGCCGAAGCTGCTGAATGCAAATGTTGTTCTAAATCTTGTTTGCCTCTGGCACCTAATGACAAACTGTCCCAGGCACTTACAGGATTATGCAAACCGATGATTGGATCCTCAGTGTTTGTCCCAGACTGCTTGCATAGTTGACTGGAAAACGAGTGAATGCATCCTTGACAGAAAGAATGAACGTAATGCAAGGTTTAGTTCTCCAGGGATGCTGCCAACCTGGGTTTACTAGCATGGTTTCGATTGTCTTGCTATACTTACACCTTCTCGGTAACTGTGAAGACCTTTGTCTCCCACTTTCACCATATCTCAGCATCTCAGCCTTTGGGAGAGTTGTCACAAGCAACACTAGATGCTTATCATGCCACTATAACATCGAACAGAGTTTTATTTGCACAAGTTGATTTCTCCAATGGCGCATATGTTTGTCAGGTAGGAATAGATACACATGTGGTCAGGCTAGAAGCTTCCATCAGCATGGATGGGCTAAGAGGGGCAGTGAAATCTGCCTGCAGAGATCCAGCAATGGATGGTGTGCTTGTTCAACTGCCACTACCAAGAAGCCTGGATGAGGAGGGCATCATGTGCGACTTTGATCCTCAAAAGGACGTCGACGGATTTCATGTTCTCAACATGGGGTGAGCTACTACTAGGTGTTGGACAGCCATTGTACTGGAACATGTGCAGGACAGCTGCATCACCTTTGACTGGTGTGAGCATGCCACAAAGAGGCAAATTTCAGGCAGCATTCATTGTTTGCATGAAGCTGTTGCTGAAGGCACAGTGTTGGCACTTGAAAGCCCAACCCTTGTTGTGGATTGGATCATTTGTTTCATTTGCAAGTTTGTCTCTTTTGAATCTCTCTGTACGGCTTAACTTTCCTGTTGAGTTTCACGTCACAATGAGCTGTTACGCCACACATATGAAGGAGAGATGGACTAATGTCAAGCTGCAGCAATTGTGCTCATATTTTGCTGTGTGCCGTTGCCATCAATTGCAGTGCATGGATTATCAATGGCAGAAAGTTCCTTGTCTCCATCCTAAGTTCAAAAAGAAGTATCTCAAAACTTCTTCGCAGCCTCCAAAATCGCATCCCCTGACTGTGGCCTCTATTGCTCACCACACTTCTTCTGCCACGTCAAAATGTTCAATACATCATCATCCTAATCTTAGTTTTAGTTACATTTGTTACATGACAAAAGCCTTTGCACCAAACTGGCGATGTCGGCAATGGTCCCAACCTCATTCTTGTTTGAACCCGCAGCTTTTGTTCATGAGCACAGCCAGTTAGTCTGAGTTGCCGCCAGTAGTTCATTACATGAATATTGAGGATTCTCAATCCAGGCTTTTCTTCTGTGTGGTGACTCCAGCCGCATGCTGATGAGGAACAGGTCCCCCCGTTTCATTCCATGCACAGCCCTTGGCTGCATGCGTTTGCTGGACTGGCACAGAATCGACGTGCATGACAAGACTGCAGTCGTGGTTGGAGACTCCAACATCGTGGGCCTCCCTCTGTCAACTCTGTTGCGGGACCGGGGCACAGCAATTGTGACTGTGTGCCATGGTGCCAGCTACAGAGAGTAGGTGCTGTCATCAGGATGTTCTCCAAGTACTATGCGATTAACAGAACGGACATGTTAAGCAGTTGGTGCCTGTCATGAGCAAGAATTTGTGAGATTGTTTGCTGCACTTTAGAAGATAGTGCAGATGCTGGCCATTAATATTTGTAATGCTGTGCTCCTGTGCGGGGTGCACTGCGATGCTTTGTGATATGTATAATGTGCCCTGCATGACTGCCAGCTGATGTTTGTGATGATAGATATGAATATGCAGGGATGAGTATGATGGATTGGTCAACAGAATATCATGCGTTCAAGTACATGATTGGCTTGTAGACTTGACTATTTTCTGAACTTCGCCTGTTAATAGTTTGTTTGCCCTCATCAAGATGGTGTCATCGCAAGGGTGTTTTGTAAGGTTGCATGTCTGGTGTGTTTTAAATAATTGGTATGAGTTCAGTCCACCAGTTGCAGCCTCAACTTGACATTCAGCGTCCTTGCAGGAGTTACAGCAAGTACAGCAAGTTTGTCAAGCAGCACACATAGAGGTTGCTTATTTTGTGAATATAAATGCATCCTCACTATTAGTGCCCAGGTAAAGCCATGTGCCGTTTTTGGAGTGATGAGGTTCCATGATGGAACCTAGACTGTGGGAATGTGATCGAACTTCAATCACATTCTCAGAGTCTACATTGGCATCATGAAAGAAGGGGACAAGAGAAACAAGTAGTCCCCTTGCTGTGCAACAAACTCACAGGCTCCCATGGTGCATGAAGCTCACATGTTGTTCAGATGCGTGGTTCTACTGCGGCCATCTTTGGCCTGCACACACCTTGTATGGAAGTCTTATGCACGACTGGTCATCACTGATGTACTCTAGAGAATGACTTTGTCGTTCTGAATTCAGAGCATCCAGCAAGCTGCTCACCACACGGAATGTGTTTCGATATCACTGCACAATGGCAGGGTGATTGACTACCACATAACTCTGGCATTGTGTGTTTAGGCTGGCTTTGCATGATACACTGAAATTTGAGCCATACACATTTTACCGTCTCGGATGATGTCGAACACCACCTGTTGTTGGGTACGGCAGGTGCTTCGACGATGGAAAGGCCATGCAGCAGAAGCGGGTGGCAGCATCTGCATGCCATCCGCCGTTGCCAGGTCCTTCAATGTCGTGGGGTTTGCATGCGTGTGGACCCAGCAGCCAGGAACCTGCATGCGGGGATGCCGCCATCGCTGCCCAATTCCATGACTACAGGCTGCCAGAGATCACGCGCACAGCAGATATTCTTGTTGTTGCTGTTGGGTAAGTTGGAGATCAGTTAGGTGATATGCCTACCTTGCAGAGCCCTTGCTGAAGTTGCAGTGTTAATTTCTGCTCTTGTAAATTCTACTGTTGTGTCTCTGTAATCTTTTGTTGCAGTGCTGCGAATGCTCTGTAATTGCTGTTGGTCTACTGAAGAAACAATTTGCCACAAATCTTCTCAGCTCCAACCCCTCCTGGGCAATGTATGTGAGAATCAGGTATATTGCACCCTGAGCGGAAGGACAATTTTTTTTCAATGCCTCTAATGCTTTGAGCTAGACATGTGCAACCCCACTGCACAATGTGCAGATGGTACAGAAGTCTTTGAGTCCAGCTGCACAAGCGTGCAGCAAAATGTTGCACGGAGAGTCGGGAGACATGCACACAGTGGGGTGCACACTGTCACGCCACATTGTAGAATGGAGAACCTCCCTGAATGCCAGGAACGATATCATTTGACAGCATGGCCAAGGCGACCACGTCTCGGCTGCTGTGCCCCGACCGCACTTGGCATCCTGCCAATAGTCGTGGCCTTGCCATGACCCTCGTTTCCTGCAGCACGTGAACATTCCCTCGTTGTATATCTCTGAAGCAGTGTCACAGCTGCAGGGCCAGCACCTAACAGTTCTAGCAGCTCACATACAGACAGTCTTAGTACTCGTAGGCAACCGCAGCATGGGCGCATGTCGCTCTTTCGCTGCTGACTCCTTATTGTTTTCTTTACTATTCTCATTTGTGCCGCAAATTTAAGTGCGATGGAAAGTTCGGATTCAAAAATAGCGGTCAGCACTCACTTGCAGGCCTGCCGTCATCTACGCTCGCTGGAGGGCGTGGTGCCTGTGATGACAGTCGAGTTATTGACATGAACTGTTGCATCGCGCAGCCACCCCAATTTGGTGCAGAGGAATTGGGTGAAGCCTGGCGCCGTGGTTCTGGACATTGGCATAAATGTGACCCCCTACGATGGCGCCAATCTGGAGGATTGCCATGCTGACTACCACTTGACGGGGGACGTGGCATTTGAAGAGGTGTCAGAAATCGCGTCTGCCATCTCGCCGGTTCCTGGTGGAGTGGGACCCATGACCACCTCCAGCCTCATGCACAACACGCTGCTGGCTGCCAGGCACCGCTGCGCTGGGGATTGGTGACATGATTGTTGGTGCCCATTTGGTTGTCATTGATCACCTTGTCGCAATGTTGCCAGCTATTTCCATCACCCCAATTTGACCTAGGGGCGATGGTGGTCTCGTTTGTTCAATATAGTGCTCCGATTGAGCAAGATTAGATCCAACTGGGTGTAGCTGTAGTGCCTCACAGTGGGTTTTGTTGTAGTATTGGGATTGCCGTCTACAAACAATCAAGAAGGCAGCCGTGCATTTGGTTTTTACATCACCGTTGGTATTCCGTCGATGCTCAGCAATCCCCCAGTAGTTGTCTATCTGACCGCAAAGACGCAGAGGCATGCTCCACGGACATCCAGATCGTGTGCAGAGGCGATCGCGGCTGTGGTTACAGCGATCAGTAACAAGGAAAGTCTCGATCTTCACGACATTTGGCCTGCAGTTGGCCGAAGCGAAGAGTGCGAGCACATAGAAATCCGGCCGTATGAGCAACGCACAGATGAATGACCGGCGAATTGCCCTGATCGAGGTGGTCAAAATCGCGCGAGAGGTGCAGACGGCAGCTTGTTTTCCGTTTTTTGCAATGTGATGCGCATTGGCCGACTGACCATTGTGTCGGAAAGAGTCTAGCGCCATTTGGGGGACACTCTCGTGACCACCGAGGAAGTTTCCAACCAGATGAATGGCAACATAGAGCCTGACTGTGCGACTAGCCCATCTCTGCGCAGCAAGCAACTTGTCAACGTACCAGCGCGAACGTTATGTCGAATTGCACGACGCCAACCTGTCTGCAATGGGTCTCATTTTCGCGCACTCACATGATCCGGCCGGATGAAACACGATCAAATGATGCGCAATGTCGATCCGAATACAGACATGGCTTGGAGAACATGTTCCTGCACCTCGTCCGCCATCAACAGCGAGGGGCATCTATTACTTCAGAAGTATTGCAGTAATTCATGTAGATCCTTTGATGTGCCTTTGTGGCTCTCCCTTGTGCCTATTTCGAATTCGGCTTGGACCATCACATGCCGCAGCCTGTCATATATTGTTCATTCGTTAGTTCTTCCGTTACAAAAATGGTCATGCAGCGCTCCATGACCAGTTGCTGGCAATTCCGTGAATCCAATACCAATCAGGGTCAAACCCTTTACTTTCGAAAGAAAGCGTAAATACAAGCGAAGGGTTATTTGGCTAAATGGTGTGGAAACACGACGTCGTGTTCCATTTGCCTTGCGGTTGCTGTCCACCGATTTTCGTGGACACATTCGAAGCTACCGCGCTTGTACGCCCTCCCAAACTGAACTGAAAAGGGTGTTCCTCCTTAGCCCCCCCACCCATCTAACACCAGCACCAAACCGAGGCACTAGTTGGCTTGTTATGGCACAGAAGTCGTAGCAAACCAGCTGAACACTGTGCTGGCCTTCGAAGGACACGCTTGAAGCACCACGCTTTCCTGATGAAAATGCGCAGCAATCTCAACAACGCCATGCCGCAAAGGTGGAACTGCGCATTGAAAGCTCAGCGCGGTTGAATGGGATTGAGGAGGTAACCCCCGCCCCAACGCAGATCCAGAAATGCCCTTGAGCCAATCCCTCATCGCTGTCACGCCGGTGTGGAGAAATACACATGCTGACTCGCGACGCTTGACATCGTTCGATGTTTATGGTAATCCATAGGATGTGATGTTCATGGTAACATGTATATGTTGATCTAAGCTCCTTGCATAGATCAACATGTAATACCTTGGAATTCAAAAAAAAATGGTAACATGTATATGTATGCGCTGCCTTTCAATGGGTGGCAGCGCACTAGTAAAAAACAGGCCAGATGACATAGTCCTGACACGGTGTACTCAAAATCCAGCTGTGTACTTTCGGCAAATGTGGTCCCAAAACAACACATTTAGTACACGCATTGACATAATTTCAACCGCGCACCCTCAAACAACTGTGTAGACTACACGGCTTCCTAGTGTACACGGTTAAAACTGTGTCAACGTGTGTACTAACTGTGTTGTTTTGGGACCATATTTGCCGAAAATACACAGTTGGATTTTCAGCAGAGCGTGTCAAGACTGTGTCATCTGGCCTATTTTTTCCTAGTGGTGGTCTCGCAACCTAAGAGAGAAGCTTGAATGGGTTGTACCTAAAGTATTCAAGAGAATCTTGCTATGACTCACAACTGCGACAAAGCATGCGGTGTTGCCATCTCTCTTCTCTCATCTCTGCACATTCTCATTGTGCTTCCATTATTGTTGCAGCTCTCGCTCTTGCTCGTCGTACTCTCTCTGTTGCTTCAGAACCGTGTGTTGCATCTCAAATTTGTTGATGAAGAGAAAATTTTCTTTCGCTCCTTCTTGAGTTCACACTCTAGCATCAATGGCAATGGCCGGGCACTGACAATGATGAAAATGATTTTATCGGGCGCCCCTCACGTAATGCATCACAAGTCAGTATTTGCCGACCGCAGCGTTGCAAAGCATGTTGAAATGTGGCCTGTGCTGCAGGTACGACGGCGGGAAGTTGGACATCTACTCACTGGGGTCTGTGTTGCACGTGATGGTGTTCTGGAAGTTTCCGCAGCAAATAGAAAGGGCTGGGACAAACCCATATCAAATCCTGCAGCATCGGTGCTCAAGATATCTTCAGCTGCAGCTCCAAGAGGATGACCAGTTGTTCAATGGCTCTCCAGGGCTAGTTCGCCTGCTGAAAGGTTTGTTCCAGTGGGATCCTGAGAACAGGTTTGAAATGGAGCAGAAGTGGAGGGGCCAGTGGTTCTGCCCGAATCTGCTCATGGATGAGAATGGCAACGACTCGAGAGACTACAATCGATCGATGCTGGAGATGCTGAAGCATGGGTTGAACAACCAAAACCGGCAGAGTAGGCAGCAGTTTCAGAGCCTGGCGATTGAGGCCAGCAAGGAGGCGGTTGTTTGGATCTGATTTCATCCCAAGTTGGTGTGATTTCTCTCCTCAATTGGCTTTGCCCAGGACTTGTCCATGATCTGCTTATGTCGAATACTTGATTCCCGTGTTTCGTCCATTACAAGTGCGCTCTAATCATAAGGAACTTTCGGAAGAGACTTATTATTATGAATCACCAAGAACTGGCAATACTGCTACGACAGGATGTACGTTGACGTGCACCGGAGGCAGTGTCCCAAGCAGTGTGCGAAATTCACCAAGTTTGATGGAATATTTCCCTGTTTGAAGGCTTCATATCGGCTTACATGGTGCCCATCTGCTGTCAGTGTTGACCTTGGTGACGAAGCCTGCGCCATCCAGCATCATTTCCTGCTTTGTCTGCCAAGCGATCCCTCTAATCAAGGTGTGACCAAGGGAGCATGTATGAGCAAATGACCACAAGGGACAGGTCATATGATACTGCAAGATCTGTCAGCCGCCATACTGTTGAATGTTCTGAAGCGATATCCACAAGGTCATCTCTAAAAAGTTTGCCGTCTCCTGCCTAAATTCGTTCACAGACTAGGGACGATGTCACGGATGCCTCATACTTTGTGTGCATGGCGCTGGAGATTCAAAGCCCCCAAGTCCGGGTACGGACAGCCCATGGTCTTTGGACATTCAGGCGCATGCACCCCGAAACGATACGGAGAGGAACGCAGTCAGAAACCGCAGCGATTCAAGCAGGTTCATAAGAATCCCATGCAGCTCGAGCAATGAGAATGCCGTGGGAGTGCTGCGACAAAATATGAACGCTTTGGAAGGAAAGCCGCTAGATTTGAAGCCAAACTCGTCGCGCTACACGTCACGACCTGCGCACACAGGCGGCACACTCAAAGAACGCCAACAAGATGCTTACAACTACATAAACTGCTGTTCGTTCCGCTGCATCCCCCCCAAAATCGGGCAGCGCGAATTTGCAGTGCCGCCCATGTCGTCGCAGCCACCCAACATAGCCCGCTCTATCCTCGCGCTTGTCAACACATCAAATCCACATTGATCCCTGAATGTCCTATAAATTCTGGCAGCTCACATCAGATCCCCTCCCAGCCTGTCGTATCGCCGAGCAGATGTCCCATTTCCGTCAGCCATCACTAGTCGCTCACGTAACATTCATGCCGAAATGGCATCACCATTGCACGATACGCCGCCCAAGCTGCAGGAGAAATGCCAATTCACCTCTCTACCCTTTGACCCATCAGCTTCGATAAAAAAAACTGCTGCACTCCGCACAGCTGCCACCATGGCAATTCAAAGCGAAAGATGTCACTCACTGAGCGCATCCACTACCTTTCTTTCTGCGTTGGTGCATGGCAGTACAAATACCACTTCTGATGGTCATTTAGTAAACAGGTCATGTCGCCATTCTGGCTGACAAGTGCCACTAGGAGATATTATAAAACCATAAGATGTTGAGGTAAAAAATACTCGACATTTACACGTCCATGCAGCCCATCCTCAATCATTCTCACATCATTTGAACTTTGAATCCCATGCCAGTTCAGACAGCTCTCCTCACAGCAGTCTTTGAGGAGCCACAAATTCAGCATATCAATGTCTTGACTCATTTTTTGATAGATGAGTTTGGTTTCATGTCTTAAGCCGCAGTTGGAATTGATGTAGTCTCGCAGCTGCGTGCGTATTCTGCTGCTTAGATGCCTGAATTAAATTGCCGTTGATGGCTTTCGCTGTCCTTGTTGTCGATGACCTCATCTTTAATGTGGCATCCCTGTCCACCATGGCTTTCTGGATCCCATAATTCCGCATGGCAAGCCTTGTGTTATCCTGCCCGTCGGGTCATTTTGCAATCTTGGGCTAAGCACTTGAACCGCTTCGCTGCAGTACATACTCGATGCTCAAGCCCGCAAATCGATACGTTAGCGCTTGGTAAGCTACGCACTTTGACAGTACACAGCCCCACTAGTACTAGTATGCTACATGAGGCGATGATGTATTGGGCAGGACAGAATTATGTTGATGTTTTCGTCGATTGGGTGCACTGATGTACTCTCCTTCTACTTGCGCCATTGTCTACAACATGTTTGCAATCATTCTGAGCTT